GTGTCCTGGAATTAAACCTTAGAGGATGCCAAGAGCCCACTGTAGAAAGAAATGAGTCGTGTAGACTCGCAGTGGTCCCCAAACTTTGTTCCTCCAGATGTTTTGGACTTCAGACCTCAGAATTCCTGACTATTGGCCAAGCTGACTGGGGCTTCTGGGAGTCGATGGACCAAAGTCTGGGAATCACTGGTGGAGAGGTATCAGGAGAAAGGCAGGGTGGAGTAGTGGTCAACGACTATTAGCGATTGCAGACTGCCAGAAATAGTGCAAATTGAGTCCACTTTAAGGGTTAGGGTTAGTGCTAAGGAATCATGGGATTTTTTTTTCTGAGACATTGAGCCTTCTCTGTCAGAGAGCTCTGGTGCCGCAATAAAATACAGTTCCCATGATTCCCTAACCCTAACCCTAACCCTTAAAGTGGACTCAATTTGCACTATTTCTGGCAGTCTGCAACCCCCCTATGACTCTGGAAACTCTAGGGTTCGATTCCCAGCTCGGCTGTGAAACCCACTGGGTAACCTTGGGCAAGTCACATACTCTCAACCTCAGGGGAAGGCAATGACAAACCTCCTCTGAACAAATCTTGCTAACCCCCCTCCTCCAAAAAAACAAACAAACCCCAAACCCACGATAAATTCGCCTTAGGGTCGCCATTAAGGGTCGGAAACGACTTGAAGGCACACAACAACAACAACAACAACTCCTCGGCACGAGGTCTTTAGTCCAGATAGTCTCACCCTCTGGTCAAAGCAAAAGACAAATCCTTTCCCCATCCCATTTCATCCAGGATCCACTTTGCACACAACTGGAGCTACGTCTTGCTCCTATCCTATGTCTCTGCAATGGGATCTTGCAGCACCTTTGAAACTAGCTGAAAGAAGTTGGTAGCAAGAACTTTCTTAGGTCCAAAACACACTGCAGAGGCTCAGATCTGAGGAAGTAAGCTCGAATCTCCTGATGAAAACAAACTGACAAAGTAAGCTCGAGTCTACGAAAACTCATGCTCCCAACACCTTTCTTTCAGTTACTCTCAAAGGTGCTACAAAATACCTTTGCAGACTGAATTTTCCAGAGGACTACTTGTTTTTGTAACTTATGCCTAATTTAGTTTTCTGATTGTAAAGCCCTGGAGTGTTGGAATGCATTAGTCAAATTTGATAGTTTACATATTAAGCGTAACAGCAGTGTGTGACCCAACAGTACAGCCAGGTCTCCTTATCCACGAATCCTTTATCCACGGATTCAAGCATCCACGGCTTGAAAATATTCGAAAAGTAAACCTTGATTTTTGCCATTTTATATAAGGGGCACCATTGTACTATGTATGGCCTTGTATCTAATGGGAATTGAGCATCCATGGATTTTGGTATCCACAGGAAGTCCTGGAACCAAACCCCAATGGATAACAAGGGCCCACTGTGTGTGTGTGTGTGTGTGTGTGTGTGTGTGTGTGTGTGTATCTATATATAGCTGAGCTTCTGGTAAAGAAACACGATACATTGGGAAGGTAAAAATAAGACTTACTTTATTGTTGCTGAAAATTCTTCTAGCATCTAGGAAAGTAAGCAACCAGTCACACTGGCCAAATGAACATAGAGATATCAATAAGGAACTCAAGGGACTGTAAGGAAGGGAGGAATCAATGAGAAAATACAAGGAATCCATAAGGAAGGGGGGTTGCAGACTGCTAGAAATACTGCAAATTGAGTCCACTTTAAGGGCTAGGGTTAGTGCTAGGGAATCATGGGAATTGTTGTTTTTTCTGAGACATTGAGCCTTCTCTGTCAGAGAGCTCTGGTGCGACAATAAAATACAGTTCCCATGATTCCCTAACCCTAACCCTAACCCTTAAAGTGGACTCAATTTGCACTATTTCTCGCAGTCTGTAACTTCCCGAACTATAAGAAACTCACCCCTCTCTTCCTCCCAATTCCATAGATAGAAGCATTGATGCTATACTCCAACATGGAGTTCCCCAGGTATTACTTTCTGAGTGGACTGCAAGGCGACTGGATCGGGACCAAGGTGGAGACAGGGGATCAGGCCCGGGGGGGTGCAGCCAAAGAAAAAGCAATCGGTCCCTTTTAAACAGAGAAGGGGGGCGCATTCCGCAAGGAAACTTTGCGGCCGCTCCAGTCTCTGCAACCTTTTTTATCTCCCCCCCCC